ATTACTATGAGATGCCACTGTAAGTGACAGTTTGTAAACACTGTTTGACCATAACAGTTTAACGTAAGAATACTTCATCTTCATGCAAATTCTTTCTTATTGTTAACTTAAGACTTACTACATTTCTGTGAAATGCATAGTTTTAAGATTTGCTGCCATGGATTAAACATGCTGGCTTTGGTAGCAGACTTGCCCATCCTGTTGCATCAGAGGACATACTTGGGAAACGGTTCCACGAAGCTGAAGCAGGGTGAAGGAAAATACTATCTCTGACACAGATTAGGGTTGTTATTACTGTTTTGGTTCTGTCCTGCTTTGTTTTCCTTAATACTGTTCAGCAAGTGGAAAAAAGGAAAAGCATAAGAAAGGAGCACAAACTCCACTATCAGGAATGCACCAATGAAGTTCAAAAATAAGGCTTTTTTTAAATCCTAGTCCACATACCCATTTGTATATTCTCCTGGAAAACGCTGTCATGAGAAAAGATCAGAGTTTGTTTCTAGCAAAATTAATGAACTACTCATAAAAACACATCTTACTTTTTTTTTTTTTTTAAAAAACAGGATCCATCCTTGTAACATGTAGGGTTTGTCTATATATATAAGAGCTACACCAACATAACCATGAGGTCCTATTTTTAATCCTGCTCATGCTAGTAAGAAAATCTGCACGGGAATTTTTATTTGAAAATAAGAGCAAGATTTCAGCTTAGTTTATGACACTTCACAGTGAAGTTTTAAGTAAAAACAAACAAACAAGAACTCCCCCTTTTACTATTCTAACATCGCTGGCTAAAAACTGACATTACTGCTGAAACACCCAGGTAATGAGCCGCAGATGACTTGAGCCACAGATGGCTTGACTTCAGCTAGACCGCTAAGCCACATCATTGTTTAGGCACCTAAACGAGTACGGTTTCAAAGCCAAAAGCCACAAAACGTAACGAAAAGCAGGAACCAATAATGCATGTAACAGCAGTTTTTGATGTTCAACACTAACGTTTCTTTTCTCTCGTGTAACACTACTCCCCGTTTTGGTGACTTGGTAGTCGCTGCTCTACTCTGTTCCTGCGGTCTCAAAAAAAAAAGACTCTCTCTTTTTTAAAAAAAAACTTTCGATGCCCTCTCTTACGAGGATCGGGAAGGTTAACGAACAAACAAACAGGCAAGTACCTGAAAGCCTAGTGTGTTAAGTGCACTTTTACCAGGTCTCCGCTCTGAACGCTTTGATGCACGAGCCAGACACGGGGCCCACGCCGCACGGAGGGGCGCAGTCCTCTGGAG